TGGTCCAAATTAAACCACTCATACCTGACACTGTCGTGTGGAGTACCTAACCTTGACATTTGCCTTGACATTTGCCTTGTTAGTAAAGTAATGAGGTTAAYGTGAGTCAAGAAGKAGTTACATCCGCTACAATCTTTTTCAAAAAGTTTGTTCACACTTGAAGAATCTTGGTGCAATAAATTTGATATGTCCTTACCAATTAAAAATGATATTTAATGAGGATTACACATGTAGATTCATAATAATTTTAGTACATTTTGCARATTGCGTTGGCACCACATTATTTCTTATCTTATTTACTACTTCTTATTGGTAAGATACCCTATTGGTTGCTCTCATTAGATATTGATTTAACTGTGTTTCCCACAGGATAATTGTCTCAAGGGAAACAGAAGAAGTAGCCTACTTCAATTCTTCAACAGCCCAAAATATTAGACATTTACTTGGCAATTTATCCTTGTGGATGCAGGCTCTGCTGCTTCCCCTTAATATAACTTGTGTATAATATACACTAAATGTCATAATTGTGCACATTTCACCATTGATTTTGTACTCCAACTTCCAAAATTCTACCTCTATGGCAAACCATATCAAATTCTAACTACTATGCAGAGTGTCATTGCTCATTTAAAACACACAATTAACAATGACTGTACAACTTAACTCAAAAACATTTGTTCACTTCATTTGTTATCTCATAATGTTTGAGAACCCAACCATCTAGGCARACGACCTACCCACAAATGTACCTATAAAATGAGATACAACCTTTCCAAGAAAATGACATTCTCAACCACAGTGTACAGCATTCAAGACTCAAGAACTGATATTCAGGTACAACACTTAGCTTAAGATAGGAAACAAAGCCAAACATATTTAGCTTTGCCTTTTTGTTGCAACAAGTTCAAGAACCAACTCAGGAGTTGTTTCAGATGCTATTTTGAGTAGCTCAACCAACATCGTGAATGTTAATTTGCAAGACAAATATTCTTTAATTCAAATCATTCAGCCTTAATTGAATTTTAAGTCAGTTTACAAGATATTCTTTTGAGCCTCATCACATTCAATTTATTATATCAGTAARTTCATAATCAATAATGCTGTATTTCTTCCTCAAAAGGGCAGATCTCAGAAAATAATAAAATAAAATAATTCTAATGAGATATTTCAAATGAAGCAGAACTTTCAAAGAACAACATACATAAATAAACCTTACAGGCTAAACCTTACAATTAAATGATACAGAAATTTAAAAAAAGAGACATCAATAAGGCAGAAAATCTGAGTGAAAACTGTCATCAAAAAAGACATTTAAATATAGATTTTGTAAATTTGATTTTTCAAAGTTCATTTGTTTTTTAAAGGAAGAAAAATCAAAAAGGGACAGATCAATTTCTTCATTTAGTTCAGCTGAACTGTGGTCAGAATCATTTGCAATGCAAATATCTAAAGGTCACTGCTGAATCACAACTTGGTAGATATGCAAATCAAATTTTATTTGAAACACAAACATATCCGTTTAGATAMAAATCACTTTATATTGTGGAAGAAAAAAACTTGACACCTTTTTTAACCATCAAAAAAGAAAAAATATAACATGGAAATCAAATATAACAAAAAATATGCTCAATAAGTATTTCAGACAACTCGTGATACAGAAGAGAAAATAGTATATATAACATTTTCACTGAACATCATATCACTTTTTTACATCATTACAAACTCATAATTGACATCAAAACTGGTTATTTTTCATAGCAATTGCATTTTAAAATTTACCTCAGAAAACAAAGGTCGCCATTCTGTCTGCCACGTTTACGATCATGMTGCAGTTGTTCTTTCACTTTCGTCTGTCTCTGAAAAACAAAGCGTTTCTCAGTAAAAATAATACAAATGTGGCAAAAAAAAATCGAGTTTAATAGTAGAATCTCTATTGTTGTTAAGCATAAATATAAAGATTGCTTTCTCTTTCCAATCGGCTGGGCTTTCGATTGATTCTTTTGTCTACTAACCCCATGGAGGCTCACCCCATCATCAAAAGAGAGTTTCGATTTGATAAGACGATCTAAAAACTTCAACTGTGCTACAAGAATGCAAAGCTAGCTAGCAAAGTATACTAGCAAAACAATTCAATGTTTTCGATGTGAAATTAAAAAAAAAGGCAACGAAGGTGCTAAATCACTGTATAGTTAGTTGGGGTCATTTGACCATTCGTCGATTGTGGCGCAATTAAAAGACAAAAAAACTCGAAAATGTTAACTAGATTGAAAGATTTAATTAAATTAACAGCATTTTTGCCGAAATGATTGTAAAAGAAGTTTTTTTTCTTCGTTTAAATGGGTTTCTCAGGACTCACGATTTACAATGAAGCGACGAATGGAACAAAGATAACTTCCGTTCAGCCGAATTTGGAATGTAAAAATCGTCGAAAAGCTTTGGTTTTTCCACTTAATGAATCAAAAAATCTTCGTTCGATAATTCTTAAATGGTTTACCTACCTTATCATGCCGTTTTCCTTTCATTGGGAGGCATTTTCCTGCCACAAGGGCACAGAAACCCCCTTCCGCAACACAACTCAAAAGCAACGTCTCCGCATCTGGCGCTCAATGGGGAATCAGTTGTCATGCGCAGCACACTGAAACTGTTTGCCCAACCCAAAGTTCACCATGACAACTGTCAATTTGTATTTGCACAGGTGCACCTGCTTGTGTAAGGCAGAAAAAAACTGAAGCAAATCAATAACCAATTTATAGAGTGTTAATAATGTTTATAATGTTGTTTTAAAAATCGACAGATTACTGATTACTGGACCCATTTCCCTTCCCAGATATAGCCGGTTTCTTTGTTTCTCGATATTCTTGGGGATCTTGCACCTCCCCCACCTCCCCCTCTTCTCCCCTTTTTTACAACAAAGTACAAATCACAAATCAAAAAATACATGCGACCATGCGACCGTGACGTGAAAAGTATGAAATTCAAAATAAACACGAGGCAGGAGCTCCTGATACAGGCTACAATAGTTTACCACAAACTGCAAATCAAAAAGGTGCCTTTCATAATGATTCCGGGGTTACCTAACAGCCACCAAAGGACCCTGTACTCCCCCACTCACTACTTCGTTAAGTATTTTTTTTTTAGCACGCAACACTCTTCGCCTCACATGTCGATTTTTCCTTGGTGAGGAAAACCGGAGGATCTAGGGAAAAACCCTCGTGTCAAGGGAGAGAACAACACATCACATCACAATAGTTTTGTAGCTTTATCTAACAATTTGTTGTTGTCTCATTTATTATATGATAGCCTTCGTAGAWACGATAACCCTGATAGCCAACTGCAATCCCAGCTATCATAACATCGGCGTCACGTGATTCTAATGATAGTGTGTAATTTCCAGGAGTAATGTTTTCTGCTAATGGATATAAACGCGTTCCTTTCCAGGAACGTTTAGTTTCTTGGTGTTCTACYTTAATGCAAGATTTTTGTGCGTCGTTAATCGACAGTTGAAATACACCAGGTAAATTTGACATTCTCATAATTGCGATTATCGACCGATTCTTGGAGCCTGACGCTATAGGACTACGAAATGAAAAGCTTATATTGATAATATTTGTCTCATTTGTTAGCTTAGACTCCCATCCAGCTTTTGGGGCATCTCTATGCCACTTAAAACGATGTCTTATTTTTGCCTCGGTTTGTGATTCTCGAGGAGACACAAACCGGAAACCACGTGACATAGTCACGTGTGCTGTCAGTGTTTGSGTGTCCTCTATAGAAGCACTCCAGTCAGGAGTGAGTGTTGTCCAACACTTTGCATCAATTAGTTGTTCATCTTTAATTGCCGGATTGCTAAAGATCGGTGTATTCAGAGAAAACGGCTGTTCAGTTAGAATGGTGCTTATTGAATTAGCATCGGAAAGAGATTTCTCAAAATAATCTATCATTAATGCAGCGAGCTTTGCATGAGCTTTAGGTCCTGCGTGTAAACCATCTTTGGAATACATATCAAGGTTTGCATTGCTGATTCGGTGCTTATTATAACCAGTTTTGCGACACGCAAAATCTTTCATACTAAAAGATGGTATCACGTAGTGCTTTGCTAACTCATCAAAGCCCAGATTTTGCATGTTATCACAATCAGCATTCCCAATGTCACCATTTACGATGTAAGGATTGACGAGGTTAACGTACATTACTAACGGATGAGATGGTAGTAAAAGAAGTGAACGAGTTAGAATCTCCATTGGCTGAGCTGCTTTACCGTATTGATCGCCGTTGTCATTGACGGCCTCTTCAATCAACACGATGTCGGGAAAKGTTTGTGGTAAAAAGTTGCGAAAACACATGGAATAGAAATCGCTCCCACAGCCACCAATTGCTGCTTTTTTTGTAATCAGTTTGGCTCCAGTCCATTGATATATATTTTTGTTCCAAAGTTCTGTCAGTTTGTCGAAGTAAGTGAGATWAGGGGCTGTTATTCCTGCACCAGCTGAGTTTGACCCTCCGAGAACAAACATTGTYAGCGAATCTCCTTGAAGAACCTTTTTTGCAAGGCGTATGATACCCCCTGTTGGTGKTTTTTGTGTGTGGACAACTTCTTTGGTTTCTGTAAACCAAACAACTGATCTGAAACATAGAAATTAAAAGAATTAGCGTCTTCAATTGGCTTTCAGGAGGGAGTGCACCCCACAATTTAAAAATAATTACCATGAAGGAGTGATAAAGATACAAAATAAGGAAAGTATTGAAGGATACAGACCTCAGGAGGCAGGTACGTACYCCCTGCACCAACCACCTGATTTCGCCCCTGCAACTGTTAGCCCACTGTTTAGTATCAATTAGTACTATTTGTTTCACGGATTGGGAAGTCCACCTACCTCATGGTTTGTACGTTTTTCGCAACAAGAGTGAAGTAAAAAAAACCGTGAAATACTAGGTATTACACTAATACACCTTAGTACGCTAAATGAYAGTCAAATTTTATATTTTACCCGGGGGTACTCCCTTATAAAAAAGGGCGGGGGTCCTCGTCGGAAATTCTGAAAATGACCCATAAAAGGGACCTATATTGTGAGACGATGGGCGTGGCAGTGCCACTAAGAGGGACCATCAATAATTACAAGTCATTTTGWTTTGGTTTCCCGATTTAATTTGTGTTTTTGCACAAGCATCAAACGCCGTTGGCTCGTATCGAGTTTATCACGACGTCATAAACACTGATGAAGGCTTAGGGTTATCGTATACCCTACAAAAGGTACATAACTTAGTCTGTGTAACACAGGCTACGCAAAACTCAGTTCGTGGGAATTCTCGTCATTATCACCCTTTAGCGGGACCAAAAAGGGACGACGAGGACCTGCCCGCGCCCTTTTTTATTAGGGAGTCCACCCCCCCCCCCCCCCCCCCCCCCCCCCGGGATATTTTGTTTCTCGGACTTATTGATTTTACTCTAAAGTGATTAGCGATTACTCTGTAGGTTCTACCCGTCACACTCCTATCTGATAATGATAATAATGTTTATTTTTCTCTTGCATCTTTATAAATTACATATAATATAATTATAGGAGAAAAACTATACAGCCTTTTGCAAAAATTATGAGAATTGTCTAAATATCTAAATATCATAATATCCATATCCATATATTGTCCAGAACACTGGGGTTTGCTAGAATAATTCATTGTTGACATCGAGAAAATGTTCAGAACTACCGATAAGTATGTCGCCAAAAAAAAATAAACAACAGAGACAAGGGACTAAGGGCATCGCGCGGGATCATGCACTTGATATTATGATATTTAGATATTTCAACAATTCTCATAATTTTTGCAAAAGGCTGTATGTCCTATATATATCAAGAATAAAATATCTAGAACTCAAATACTTAAGTCTGTACTGTATCGGTTTTGAACTACATATATATTGGAATAGTCGTTTCTGTTGGGTTGGCTTATGTATTTAGTTTTTAAATTAAAGAAAGCCGTTAAAAATAATTGGTGAATCGTACCTTCGTAGAGTCATTCTTTCATTTTGCTGTTTGGGGTCAATTTTTATCCTGTTTCTGGCTTCAAAAGATTGAATATAAATGATGCAAAAACAAATTATTAGAATGCATAATTTCCTTGTGTGGTACATTGCAACCTCATATATAAAATGTAGTAGTTTTGTCGCCATTTATATCAGCGGACAAACATGTAAAAAACTCAAACCGCGAAGACATTCACACCGTAAAAAACTAATTCTAGACATTGATTGTTTTAATTCATGACCCCGATCAGTGTACCTGCATGTCACAGTTTTAAAGTCTCCTATAATACCCCTSTTGACTGCTATAGTCCGATAATACTCCATTTTACGGTTCCAAGTCTCGGCTACCGTTCATGGCCGCCGATTTAAAATGTCGCTGCCCCTTGAAAAAATTTTAAATTATGATTATTCATGAACTCAAATCAAGAACGCAAAGCATCGACTACCTGAAAATATATGACGCAACAGCAGTAGATTATCAACTTCATGTTTGTGGTACGATTGATTGGAGATCCGTGGAACAGTTTTATTCTTTGGGTATTTATGACAATTAGAGCATGCACCATGCCAAGTTACATATGGATAATTGACATGATATTCCTAAGGGCCTTTCTCCCGGAATTACCTAATAGATACACAGATGACGTCAAAATGTAGTGAGAACAAAAAAGTACGAACGAGACGCAGTCGAGTGCGTGACTGTTGTTCTCACTACATTTTGACGTCATCTGTGTATCTATTAGAGTACACACGCACGGAAAAATGAGATCTATCTGTTTTATACAACAAACAATTAGTTTTGACGTAATCCGTGTATCTATACTTCGATAACACACGAAAGCCAACCAATCAAAACGTYTGATTTTACTGAAAAGTTGTATAAAAGCACTATAACTTTCTTTAATTTCTATATCGTGTCTATCATARTGTCATATTCATATCTTTACATTGTTCTATTACCGCAACCCAACATCTATTTCACCCTGACCTGCTCCTAGTCTGGCCTTGTAGCTGAGCTGGCAGAGCACCGAAGGTCGTGGGTTCGAATCCAAGCGAGGTCGGAAATTAATTTTTCCGAATTTATTCTTTCTTTCGGAATTGCCTCCTTCTAAGAACTATAACTTTCTTTCATTTCTATATGAATAATTGAGCAGATTGTCGACTGGCTTGATTGTTGACTACTTAGTTTTATCCTAACCTACCACCTCTCCCAATAATAAACACTAACTTCCCTTATTCAGATTTTTTAAAATCTATAGAGATGTGTATAACAATTTAATAGGGACTATGACATTATACAAAAAAAGTGTGCAAACGATAAAAAACATCGAAAATTTTCAAATGTCAATTTAATCAGACTCAAGGAGCATCCATTTCAAGGAGTAGGACCAACTGCTTACCAGTCCTCCTCCAACGCTTGCTATAACATTTGTTCCAATYTCAAACTTAAAATACGATCGCATATACAATTTTTCTGTTCATGTCTAAATTTCAGCTAAAAATTCTCCGACTCAAACCAGAAAGTCGGCATAAATACCAATCAAAGAAATCTCCAAAAATAGTTTTATACAAATTTCAGCTCCCATTTTTTTAATTTTGCAAGTTCGAAAAAWTGTCTTACGCTCAAGTGTTTTATGATGCTGTAATTTCAGTGTTGCTTTTTTGTATTTCAATTGATGGACTTCCACTTCTCTCTGTTGTTTTCTGCCTTGAAGTAATATTTCTTTCAGTTAATTGCGTGGTGTCTTGATCATCAAGATTGGTTGACTTACTCTTATACTCGCCGGCAACTCCTTCTTCATTTTGCAGTCTTTTGTCTTTTCTACGCTTGAAAATGCTCTTTCTTTTCTGGCGTGGACTCGTACTTTGAGGTGAAGTCGACTCCTCAGTTTCGTTGTTGTTYACATCAACGGACCCTGTTTCTTCCAAATCGTTTTGTTTCTCCGACTTTTTTTTCGAAAAAGTGATTCGCTTTTTCCGTGCAGGTTGTTTTACTTGTGAGTCAATAACGTTTCCTGCATGATCATCACCTTCGACTCCAACAGAACCTGTTTCAATAATGTCATTAACTTGAGGTTTGGGCTTCCGTGCTAACTTTTCAAATACACTTTGYCTTTTTTTACGTGTTGACGGTGAAGCGCCTTTTTCAGGACTTGTTTCGCCATCTTCATCAGCTCGTAATTGTTCGTCTATCCGAGGCGAGCTAYTTGATTCCTCCTCTTTGCCATCTGTCAGTTTCAGTGATGATTGAGCAGCATCAGGTGATGGTTGAGGTTGAGAGGATAGTGTACTTGTTACATTTTCTTCACCATCTTGTGTTATCTGTTGAGATGACAGTGAAGGATCGGCAGGTTCTTCGTGATCATTTTCTTTCACTCCAACCTGTGAATGGTGCCTTGGCTTATCTTTATTTGTAGTGTCTTGTTCTATTTGGAACTCATTTCTTTCTGATTTGAGTCTTTCTAAATGAGTTGAAYGCATTACTGACAAAGAACGACCGTCTAGCTCCGGAAGTCTTCTTTCGTCATGATCTTTCATTGGTCTCAACCTTCTCCTTCCTCCAGGACTCTCSCTCCTTCGTCGTCGCTCTATACCATCAATCGGTCGTCTACTAGGACTCTCGCTTCTTCTCCTCCTACGCATACCATCGGGAGGTCTTGGTATTCTTCCATCCATTTCCGGTCTCCTAGGTCTTTGCCTTCTTCCTTGACTATCAATTAGTCCATATTCTCTTCGTGGTCTCCTTCTACTTCCAGGGCTGCCGTCTTGTGGTCTAGGGCGGTGGTCTGATGGATATGGCGGCATATTTTCTGGCCTTCGTTCACGAGGGCGTCCTCGTGGTCCATAAGGCCGTTCTCTATCATGATCAGGTCTCCTTCTAAAAGGTCCTGGACTGAGCCTCCTTTTGTGCTGTRGTTCTCCAACGGTTTGACGTCTAATCGACGGCGATTCTGAAGAAGAGCCACGCCTACCTTGAGGGGTGACCCCCATGTTTATTATAGTCGATCCAGGTGTAGGTTGTATAGAAGGRCCTTTATTTCTTACGCGTCGAACAACCCTCTCACTTTTAGGCTTTGTTTCAATTGGTTTGACCTCCTCGGCAACCACATCGTCATTTCCATCACAAGCAACGCCATCATCATATTCATCATCATCATCATCGCCAATGTCATCGTCACTAGCAACCTTCGGTGGCGTCGATGGACGATCATCCCAGGCTGCCATTGCTTGGATGTGATTGTAGATGAACCATAACTAAGGGTAAAATATTGATAAGTAAAAAATTAAGTTTAAAGCTTTCTTAGACATTTTCACTATTCTGGTCTCAACGCACAAAGTAACTGGACTTCAGTTACAGGATGCTAGATGATCATGATCAATATCATAATTATTATCAAAGATACTACGTTATATATCCAAAATTGCAAAGAATCATTGTAGTTATTATCAGTTTTTAAAACAGAAAATAGTTTTCATGTTTACATTTTGAAACATTGAAACATGTAGGATTGTTGGAAGGACATGAGTAGAAATTTGAATCACAAACTGAATCTGAAAAAGGTGGAAAGTATCTTCTAAACAAAAAAATCTTCACTTGAAAGCCTCATGTCTCATGCTCTCATAGAAAATTTTTCGCACAATTTAACCAATCAATAAACACATATAAAACCCCGTTTACACTTGTGATTTTTGCAGGGCGATTGTCGCGCGAAAATCGCCACTTTGTTCTCGTGCACCTCAAATCGTAMGTGTAAACAKGCCTGCGATTGTCGCGGCGATCGAAAATCGCGGCGAGTTGCAGCTAAATTTCAAGCATGTTTGAAACTCAGGCGATTGTCGCGCGACAATCGCGCTTCAAAAATCGCAAGTGTAAACGGAGCTTAATAATTATTTTCATATAAATCTCATCAATAATATCCAATATCATCTTTATCATAAATACTTATAATGTCAACAATTATACGTTTTAGTACCTCTACTGCCATACACAGCAGTCTACCAGTAGATAAGGCAATTGTRAAGTAAGCTTGAACGCATGGAGTAAACACATGATCCATGAGGTCATTTTTTAGTAAGTAAAGCCATATTGGAAGACAATGGAGACCAAGAATTACAAATGTACCTATTGGAGTCTTGAAACCTTAAAGCAAAACCAATATTGTTCGATTTTTTTAATTGTAGAGAAATTGCCAAGGGCAGATCCAGCCGAAACGAGGGGTATAAATGGCTTTATTTGTAAAAAAGTGAACTTTTTATGCTTAGAGGGAGGGAGGGAAGGGGGCTACAGCAACCCTTTGCCCCTTCCTGGATACACCCTTGATTGGAAATACAACAGATTGAGTTTTTAAAAGTTAAACTTGAGCTCCTACATTTCAAGAGCATGGATGGTGGTTGATGAGCGTGGCAAGCCCTAGTGTTTAAAAATATAGGAATAGAGATCATAGCACAAATAAATAAAAGAAGAATAAAATAAATAAATGGGACTCAAGCTAAAATTCACTAAGTAGCATTCCTCTGAAAGGAATTTTCCCATATGTCCTAAATTTAGCCATTTATTATGTTTCCTTGAGTTCGAAGATCTCAACTAACATTCTGGACCTGCCACTGCATTTATAAGACTTTTAATCTTAAAAATTAATTTTATAATTATTCTGTGTTAGCAATATAAAAATATTAACTAGGTTCAGCTRTTACATATAGCTCACCATTTGCCATAACAGCTTGTACCCAAACTGGAGGAACTGATTGTTCAGCACTTTTCCATTGTTTTCCCAATGTATGGGTACAAACAAACACAGTCCACTCTAAGCAACTYACTAACCATCCCCACTGACATAGTAAACAAAGACAAAGCTGTCACAATTTATGAACAAAGTGTTGTCACATGTAAGGAGTCTATTGTTAAAGTCTACTTACATTTGCTATGTAAGTCCATAACATTGCTCTACTCAAATTATCAATCACTACATCAAGCTACAAGAAAGAACAGAAAAAAAAAACACAGCTAAAATTGCTTTGTAAGGTGCATCATGAAATTGATGGGTATCATGTTTTTAAGACTACAAGGAAACATTCTCAACACCACATTCTCAGGCAAATGTTTCACAGATTAGTAAAATAAATAAATTTTCAAATAGAATTTGTGCTTGACAAATGTTYATATTTTCGCCAGACAATGTTTATAAATCCATCAGACAGCAATTACTTATTGCTCAGCAACATTTGCCATTTACACCTAACAARCCAGGCATAATAACTTGGTATTAAAACTAGATAAAATGTTACCCAAGCTCCAAATGTTGTGACTTGATCAAGTTTTCTTGCAGCATATCCATCAAAACCTGAATATGAAGTGCCATAATTAGTGCAGGAAGGGACCATGCAGTGTCTTGATGTATGAAAAGGCACTAGAGCGGATTTCGTATGAGTGGGACATCGTTACCGCACGGTTACCGCAAAGTAACCGGACCTGGCCTGCACAATTTTAGTGAAGCAATGAGAAACTAGAACACGGTTACAGTACGATTACGGTCACCGTAGAGTACCATCCGTTTCCCACTCATACGAAATCCGCTCTATATATGTACTAGTATTGCAACTGTGCATGTAAGTCAGCTGCACTATTTTTCACTAAAATTCCATTCAGGGTGTAGACTTCCCCCCCCCCCTCCTATGTGACCTTGAAGCAGCTTCATCCCAAGGACAAAAAAATTTTTTTTTGCCCCTTTGGGAACTAGAATCTGTTGTTTTTTCATCCAGTTGGAGCTGCRTTCCCATGAACTGCAAGTGGTCTATATCAGAGTCCTTACAGCCAACAAAATGCACAAGAACCTGTCTGGAAAATAATTTTTGTTTGTGATTTTGACATGAGTTGATATTTTTGTACATTTGAGCGTTGTAGCCAACATGTTGCCCTCTATGGTTTTCACCAACAAAAGGTCTATTGCTATCAATTCTGCATTCAATCACTCATTCATTCATTGATGAACAAGTGTTACTTTATATTGTAYATATACTCACCATCTAAAATGATAGACGAACAATAAAACCCCAAGAATAAACCAGGATCGGTTTCCATATAGAAAAAGGCTGCTGCAAGAAGAGCAAGCCGACCATACCCTACAAGAGTGTTAATTGAAGGAGTGTTAATTGAAGGTATCAAGCTTATTATAGATTATTAATATAAATTAATTATAAATTTTACTCAGGGGTCTTCACCAAGGTGGGGTTTATCCGTAACATTTCTACAGTATTGAGTGGTTCAATTTCTCTACAAGTTTGAATAAAAATGTCCTTTACAAAACGTATAAAAACGGAAACACGTACCTTTGGATACTTTGTATAGAAAAAAAAATTCCGTTGTGAGAGAGGCGTGACTTTAACCAACGTTTTTTCTATGCTAGCTCGCGAATATTAAACTTAAGCTAAACAGCGCACAGCGGCAGGGAATTCAAGCATATAATGGAAAGGTACTCACCAATCAGATTAGGAACATACAAAAATATGTTCTTCCTATCCATAAACCCCTTTGTCCGATAAAAAACTTCAAACTTGTACAATTTGTCATTTCTCCATTTCTCGATGTTTTGGAGGAGTACTGGGGCTCAACAGACAAGCAAAATACAGGAAGCCCATAAATACTGCTGTAAAACTTTAGGAAAAAACATTTTGACAAATAAAAATGCTTCATTTCCTGTTTAAAAAGGATTTAAGATTTTTGAAAATCGCACATTTGGGATGGTACTTTGYTATGTTTTCCACAATTTATTGAAGTCACCTAACTTGGGTTTCCTGTGTATTAGTCTTGTCACGTGTATCCATTCAAGATGGCGGATTGTGGTTGATTTCTGCATTATTCCGATAATTCTGTCTAAATTCGTTCTTTATTAGTGCTAAAATACATGAATCTATGCTTGCTGGTCAAGGCTATTTAGTCTCCCATCGCTAACTGTTTTTTTTATTATGAATACTCGAGCAAGACAAGCTGTGCTAAGACTGGCAAGGTGCCTCACAACCTCAAGCAAGCTATCACTGCAGACAATCTTTTCTAGAGAATCGATACTACCTCGATCGTGTAACAGATTAGCTACTTTAGGCTACACTACTAGAAAATATTCTGAATCTTCGGAGGTAGGATAAAGAAAATTATATTTGTGGCATTATAGGACGTATTATTGGTTAAACGTTTTATTAATTTTTGCCAACACTTTCTTTTCAGGATTCAAAGAACTTTATTGAAACAACAGGTAACGTAACATTTCACAAACTGCATGTATGATTATATCTATCAAACATAAATGGTGCATTTTGATTGTAAAAGTGCTGAAATGTGCCAATTTATTGCTGTGTTTCTTACTGTATTTACATGTAGTGTGCTCATTAGTTTATAGTCCTTATTTGTTTTGATGGATTAAGTATGCACACTGCTTGATTGTTGAAGAATGCAGACAAATGTCTGAGTTTACTGTTATAAAGACCAAATAATGATACAGTGTATTTTACCTGCTCTGTACATCTTTTATGTTTTAGCATTTTCAGAGAGTGTATCAAACCTTGCAAAGTCACTTGGACTATCAAAAACTGACCCAGAAAGTTTGAAGCCAGCATTGGTGCATAGATCTTACTTGGTAACACATGCAACTATATTGAAGGACTCACATGAACATAATGATCAACTTGCTTTCTTAGGTAATAATACATGATCATAATTGATAGGTAATTAATATTATTCATACTGACAAAGCAAAGTAATAACTTATGTTAAACAATGGAAAGAAAGACACATTTTGGTTTAATGAAAAGAAAGAGGCATTTTGAATTTTGGTCCCCTTTCATATAACTCTGGTCAAACTGTCAGTCTATTTATGGCTTTGTATAACTTATCATTTGATAACAAGTGATGATATTGACACTGGTGAAAAACGTACTGCGCATGCCCACAGCTTTCCCGCTAGTGGGCGCTCGCGTCTTGAAATCTGTAAACAGAGCGTCTGGCGATTTACTGCGACAACACAGTAAAACTACGAAAAACCTCATTTTCTTAAAATAGAAATGACAAGATAAAAATATAAACTACATACTAAAAGGACCTATTATGGACAATGATTGACGGAAATATGAATCTTATATATCGGTGAACGAGCTTAGAAATTGTAAAAAAAACTTTCACAAAAATCGCTTAACAAAGGAAATTAGGCAGATTTCAGCGGGAAAGCTGTAGACATGCGCAGTGCGTTTTTCACCAGTGTCGATGATATTTGTAATTTGTACTGTATATTATATGTACTTTGTAGTTTAACACATGAATTCATAATGTATACTACTCTTTCAGGTTTACAAACAGCAAAGAGACATCTAACTGAACTTCTTTTGCAACATTTTCCACATTTGTCATCTCAAGAACTATGGTAGGTTGTTCTGGGTATGATTGACAAAATCCAACTAAATTGTTGTCTTGACAATTTTTGTTAATAATGCCCCTAAAAGTCTAGGTACTTGTATAGTACTGTATGTTTGAAGGGGGGGTGAATAGGGGTCTCCGAATCGCCAATACGCTCATTTTTTTTCTAAAATCCGCCGATCCGCGCAAGTTTATTAGTATTGTATACTATTACATGTTTACCCTCGTTAAATAAAGTCCTTACTTACTTACTTACTTACTAATATGTATGGCAATCGATAATAATAAGAAACACAAATTCTTACTAATTCAAGAGCCGCTGATGCCATATTTGCCATAATAAGCTCAGAGAAGACCTTTCCACAAAGCGCAGAGCCTGTAGTCTCATTTCGCCCGTTTATAAGGCCTTCTTAGTGACTTCTTATGTTATTTTTTTGTAGTCAACAATCTGCAAAATTCGCAGTCACGATTATTGCCATTATAGAATCCGAAATCCGATGTTAAATTTTCAATAAATCCGTGATCCGGTACGTTTTAAGAATCCGGCAATCCACTCTATTTTTTCTTTAAATCCATAATCCGCGTGTCATTTTAGGCCCAGATCCGCCGATCCGAAAACCTACTCACCCTCCCTTTTGAATTTATCATATGATAGAAGTTTAAAAACTATGTTGTTGTGTATTTTTCCAGGGATGTACAAAATGGTATTCTAGAAAATCAAGTTCTATCTTGCATAGAAGATCTTGAAATACCTAAACATATGGTATATGATGTATGTATCCATTTGATATTAATAAATCAATCTTGCTTACATTGTACATTGGTCATTTCAAAGCTCTTCWGACATWATWTCAAGTCTATTTTGTTTAAAAGTCRAATGCATTTTGTATTGCTCTAGAGTACTCTCAATGCAAGTGAACCAGCTATGCAATCATTTATGGCATTAGTTGCCATTATTTATATACAAGAGGTAAGTTCTGCAATTTATCTTTTACAGTGTAATTCTTACTTTAAATTGCCACATAATTTTTTCAGTTTGATTCTTGAATAAAGGCATTACCAAGACATAGTCAAAGCAATGATTGTATTATATATATTCAAATCATTATTTTATTGTTAGGGYACAGAAAAATCAAAGCAGTTTATATATGACTACTTGGTATCCAATCTTAATGAAAGTCAGCTTCAAGATATCAAAAAGCTGCAGCATCCAAAGTACATGTTAAGGTGTTTGTYACAGAAAGATGGCAATGCGAATTTCATGCTAAAGTGAGTTATTTTAATAACAACTTAATATGTTTATTGAGGATTATTTCATTACATTGAATTGATACTACATGTAGTAGGAAAAAGCTGAGTGCTTTGAGAGTAAAATCACACATTTTGTAAGACAAGGTGTTACAAACATGTTTCTAAAGCTTACTTTTTGGTGAAGGTTTCTTAGAAAGAATAGTAAGAAAGGCTTATCTACTGCTTATAAAGTTGGTGTATTCAAAGAAGGACAGTGTCTTGCTATAGGTAAGTGTGCAGAGGACTTATTTAAAAAAAACGTAACAAAGTTTATTATAATTTCGCTGTATTCATTCCTTCTAAGGAGCGGGCTCAACTATTGAACTTGCTGAGAAGAAAGTAAGTCATCCTCTTATCTCAAATATGTTTACTTAAAATAAATTTTAAATTTAGTAATTCAAGTAATTCAAGATGCTGGATTTGATTACTTTTTGCAATCTTGTAATGAAAACCTAAAAGTATGTAATTATTGATTGAGAAAAGTGAAATTTCTTTACAGGCTTGTCAAAAAGTTCTGAACAAAGTTTATTCAGAGGAGGTAAAACAGTTCAACTTTTCTTATGAGTCAGAAGATTTTGTACCTGAGGACAAAGTTGACTTGGGACTGCTAACTTCACGTCAACGTTTCATTAGTATAGACAAGGTAAATTGAAAATGACTGGTATTACATGTAACAGAATATTGAATACTCTATTCCTTTTCAAAGCAATAACCCATGTTTGATATACATGTAATAACAGATTTTGTTGTTCAAAGAAACAAAAGAAAGCATGAGTTGCAATAGCCCAGAAMATTTGATTTTTTTTGGTTTATGCCCTTTGTTTTAGGAATTTAGATATGAATTCATGATTTGAATTTGTTTTGATCATTTTTTTAATTTCCATATTATTTTTTTATTCCATTAAGAATAACAACAACATTTCCTTTATGGTACTACTAGAGCTTTTATGTGATTTCAGCAAGATGAACCATTTGGCTTTAACATCAAAGGTGGAGAAAAAAAGAAATTAAAGAACAAGGATTGGTTGGAGTATAACTACTTTTCCCCAGTTTTCATTTCAAGTATTCAMCCSGATAGTYTAGCTGATAGGTAACTTTCTGCTCTTGAMCTAAAACTARCYMTCCTGTATATATTATCATGAATTGATTCAGTGAYCACAAGTGAAATAGGCATGTYCTCTGATGCCTCAGTTCAGTGCATTAGTAATTCAGTAGATACGACTGCTCAGTTAACATTTTCCTCTGGCTGCGGCGCTGTAATGAATAAGATATATCAGTAGTCAAAAGTCAAATTATTTGTTATTTTATTATTTGTTTTGTTTTCTTTCAGACTGGGCTTGTTTCGTATTGGAGACATAATACTTGCAGTTAATGACAAGGTGCATGACTGTTATAAACCAGTGTTTTTTTCATATGCCATATATATGATTTTTTCTTAATAAGTATATACAAGTGTAAGTGTTGTATCCCTATTCTTTATATTATTATAATACTCAATATGATTTTACCTTCACTATTTTGTGTAGAGTCTTATTGGAGTTGACCATGCAACTGCTGTCAAAGTTTTGAAGGCAACCTCAGGTACACTTACCTATAACAGTCTTAGACTATTATGATGTCATTTAGTTCCAATTTTATTATATAATAGTGGCTCTAGAGTTTTTTTTTAATACCACACTTGCATGAATTTTTGCATGGTGATTGATTRATTAGAGTGTTAAAGAGGAGGACGTGCACACTGTGCCAACACTACCACATCTTGTTGTGTACTCAGTTGAAAGAAAAGAAAGATTTTCACTATTTTGTAGATAAAATTGCTGCCTAAGTCAAGAGTGTCTCAATAAGAGAACATACATGTACAACTCAAAACCGATTTGTTGTATATACCTTAGTTAGTAGAAGTGTGTCCCTCTACTAATTCTGTTTATTATTCTGCAGATTGTCAATTGGATATAGTTTATCATAATTTACATTTRATTGACATCAACTTGACATTTAAATGTATGTTGCTTTTTTTTGAAACAGGAACAGTCACATTAACAGTTCAGCATTCCAAAGAAGGTGAGTATGGAATTCTGAAACACTTTGAACAACTGAAAACTAAAATGGAACAGAAAGAGAAAGTTACCATCTATAGTTTCTGGGTTCCCTGACTGATGCTAGTACTTGGGATATGTGTTTTAGAGCGCACGGCCAGCCATCTTGTTCAATATATAAATATGTAAATCCATTAATGCTGTTCAGTTGTCAACAACATCATTTTCATAAAAAGTTTTTAAAATTTGCATTTCTAACGTTAGAAAAATGGTAGGTAGATTAAATGACGTTTTGCAACTTAAAGTTGAATGTTATTTGGAGAGAAATTAAAGTGCACATCACCCCTAAAAATTAAAAAATTTGAAGCAATTTGTAGTAGTTCAGTAACCATTTCCCGTTAGCAGAATTGATTTTGAAGCAATGAGGAATTTTTTATAGATTTTTGAACATTTTTACGACCGCACCTTGGCCGGGAATACGAGAGCTGGTGCGAGTCACAGGATATGACATCAGCTTAGGTACCATCGAACTGTCAAGGTTGTAAGTAATTCTCGCACTTCGCATCAGAATAGCAAATCAATGGCAAAATCTAGTTCAAAAATCCACAAAATGACAGAAAATTCTAGTTCTGACTCGGCAATGAGCTTTGATTCGGATGACCCCGAGTACAAGTATATTCCTGGTATCGTAACATTGCCGCTAAACTACCACGAAGAATGCGAAAACGTTGAGACATCGACGATTGTTGCGTGCCGTTCGAGGGAGAGCCGCTAGCTGAATAAGTACGGTTTGAAGACTATTAGAAAAAGGAGATCGAAGAAAATCTTCGTAAGGAATTATAGCAAAGACTAGATTACAAAGAAAAGTTTCTCAAAACGCACGAGCTTTGATTACGCTTCCTGGACATTAAATTATACTGTAAACTTATGTTTATTTTTTGTATCACTAGGTGCTTATGTGGACAAAACTGTACAGCACTCTTGTTACAAAATGTTTTTGAAGCTTAATGTTTTAAAGAGATCGACTGATGCGTTGCGATGCGATGAATGCAACTTAGTCGACGTAAGATTCGAAGCAGCTACAAAGTCAATCNTTTTTTTTGCCTTTTTCTTTTCTGTTATTATTACAGTTATAATCATTTCACTATTAGTAATCGCAATATCTTTGCGAAGCTAATCTACTTTGAAGTCGATCTGGCATAGCCGGGGTTCCTGTCCCTCCAAACATAGTGAGTGCATCAAGGGCGCTAGATCACTGAAATTATGACCTATGAGGTCGAGATGTCGCTTAATTTATCCAACCTATGATAGTCGATAGTAAATAAAGTTTACTTATTATGTGAAATGCATCCTGAATCTGTCGTCTTAGCCGCTAAAAGGCCTTTGATTTTAGGAAACTCATTCAAATGATCATATCGTTAGGGTTGCTTATTTTTCAGATTGATGCAGAACATCTCTCAATATTTTATAAAAAACCCTAAAATATACTAGATTCTATCAGGAGCCTAATTCGGCTATCTCTTTTTTTTCCTTTCCGCCTCCCCACCCCCTCCCCTTCCGTTTTCCCCCTCCCCCTTCCCCTAGAGCCGCCACGCAGGCTAGCTATCTTTGTTTCGCATAAACAAATCAGGCCTAATGTTTTAATTTGTTGTTTGTTGTTTTGCTTTGTTTTCTTAAAAAATGGGTTATAATCATTMCTGAGAACAGCAGCTGTAGGGACTTTTTGACAAAAAAAGAGTAATCCATACAAGCTAACACGATGTCGGTCAGGGAGGAGAGGGCCGACAAAGCCATTTAGAGYTACTCCATTTTTTTTCTTTCTTTCTTTATCAGTCTTTTTCGCTTCAGGCTATTCGGTTTTGTAAATTTTTATGTGAAAAAATTGGATCCCCTTTTGTTYTATCCCGCTTGTCAGTTGCCTTGATTTACATCGCACATCGGCAGTCCGGGGCCCGCTATATTTAACTCATTTTGGACCAAAGGAAAAAAATAGGATCCGAAAAATATGACCACATAGGACTACTGTGGCGATAGAATGTCTTAATGTTGTGAGGCAAAAATTAGCGTACGTTGCCATAGCATTATAAGATGCCTTTTAGGCGTTCCGTCATGTTATAGACCATCGTT